GAGATAGAAGACAACGTCGTCACCAAGCGCTGCATCCTGCCAGTTGGCTGCTTCTGAGGTCGATGTCCGGACTGATCGCGTGTGTAAAATTAATAGTCTAGTCATGTACATGTACATTTGCATGCTCTATAAAAAAATTGCGATCCGGTGAAAAAAGACGGTCGGTCGGGTGACCCGAAACAACGAATCAATTCTGGGTGGCCTTATAATTATTTATATACAATCATGTAGGTCTCTTGACGTCTTGTCTTTTCACACGCGTTGATTCCCATCACTGCATTAGACAGACTTAGTGGTCAACACTTCGAGCACCATAAGGTCCATAGGCATAGGCATAGGCATAGGCATAGGCATAGTACTTTTTAAATAGCTCATGCTACAAAAAATTTTTGTAGTTGCAGATCTACTTGCACATGTAGTTGTACAGCATGCTTGAAACACGTGCCATGCATGCTGTGTCTGATCTGAGCCCATCTAATCCCTCAAATCAAAGGGAGTGCTCTGCTGCCACAGTACTGGCTAGTTATACCATTGGCACACGTCATTGTAGCTACATGTAGCTTTCAGCTAGCTCGGATTTTTCAGCGTCTCAGCGTCTCCAGACTCAACTAATTACTGTACTTGATTTGAGTGACCATACGGCCATGGTGACCAGGTGACCAGGTTTACAAGCTGTAAAGCTACCGTAGCTTAAAGTAATACTAATAGTTACTAAAGCCAGTAAAGGGACGCTGGTCTAGGAGGGCCGAATTTCTTGCACCATGGCAACCAGAAATGCGCACACACGAGCCGCGAGAGCCGGCCACCACTGGCCCCATGCCAACGCAAAGCGTTGAAGACTTACGCAAGTAAAACTCACTAAAAGTTGGTTACCATGGTTACGGCAAGGAGAGCGAGCGAGACACTTTGCCGTGACCGTGGTGACCCAGTAGTACAGGCGTTACAGCTAGCTACATGACGCACACACACACACACACACACACACACACACACACACACACACACACACACACACAACACACACACACACACAACATACACACACACACACACACACACCGCATTATCATGATTTATACCTATTTTAGTATTTATCAAGAGTGCATGTTTATGGACTCTTGTGATGCCGCGGCCAGGAGTATATTTGCCGAACGTGTGTTTACTTCTTTCGATGATGTCTTTTTCGCTTCTAATAATTCTACCAGTGCAGTACCAATTGCCTTGAAGACAGAAGACTGCAAGAGTTTATACACTCTTGCCAGAACTCGTAGCCAGCAGCAATGCCAAGAAGAGCATGCAGCGTGGCAAAAGCAGTTAGAACAACGCAGACGCAATAACATTTTCAGCAGCCGTTCATCTCAGTACTAGCAGCAAAATACGTAGCACGCTGAATGAGCAGGATTATCGTTCCCAGGACGCAGGAGCAAAGCCCACAGCAGCATTGCCAAAGGCACCAGGTATGATCAATTTGTTCATAATAATATTATGCACAATGGAGTGTGTGTGTGTGTGTGTGTGTATGTGTGTGTGTGTGTGTGTGTGTGTGTGTGTGTGTGTGTGTGTGTCCGGCGAACACTCCGACGAATGCGCCAATGGCACTGGATGGTGGTGAAGCCATAGATTCTGTGGAACCATTCACGTATCTTGGCAGTGCCATACACCGCGATGGTTTGTCCTCCCATGACGTCCAGGCCCGCATTGGCAAGGCATCCAAAGCCTTTTGTAGTTTGAAGCAAGCCGTGTTCGAGAACCGGTCACTGAGTCTGCACTGTCGTCGTCGCGTGTATGTTGCCGTGGTGCTCTCTACCCTCCTGTCCGGCGCGGAGACCTGGACAACGAAAGCTCCGGACCTACGGCACCTCAACCTCTTCCACCATCAATGTGTCAGATCTATCGTTGGAGTGTCGCGACGGCAGCAATGGGAGACCCACGCAACGTCCACAGCCCATGCAAAGACCCTTGGAGGGCCTGAGGACACTGGTCACATCGTACGGGAACGCAGTTTGCGCTGGCTTGGACACGTGGCACGGATGGAAGATCACCGGTTGCCGAAGTGTGTTCTCTTCGGTGAACTGCCTGCCCCGCGCATGGTCCACGCAAGAGGCGGAGGGACGTCATTATGGATGACTTTGCGTCGGTTGATCCACTGGTACCAACATGTGGAAGGTACGATGCAGCCCAGAACCGTCTGGAGTGGCGTGCCATTGCCCGTCGCCCACCCAAGGCACCCTCTGCTGCTGACTACGGTTGCGCCTGCGGCCGCATGTTCCGTCGAAGCGGAGACCTGAAACACCATCAGTCATTCTGTCGTGGACTGGAGAAACAGCAATGCGCTATCATTGCTACGCAATGGGCAAGGTCAAGGTCAAGGTGTGTGTGTGTGTGTGGTGTGTGTGTGTGATGTGTGTGTGTGTGTGTGTGTGCGTGCATGCGTGCGTGCATGCTGAGGGACTCAACACAAGGCCCAGACACGGTCCCCAGAAACGTTGGAGGGACATCGCCGCTGCTGATCTGAGTGCTCGGTGCGTGACAGGTGACTGGTGCGACTTGGCGCAGGACAGACGAGACTGGCGCCTAATGTGCAATCGTTCCCGGCCGGCTGGGCCAAAGCCTAGAGTGTTCATTTGCGGCTGTGGCAGGGAATTCTGTCGGCCCAACGATCTAACTCGCCACAGGAAATACTGCAACTCCTGATGCTATCATTGCGCGGAGCAATGGGCACATCAGTTTGCCCAGCATACGCCAAGTGACATTGACTTCCGGATCATGTTGACATATTTGGAGTTGTACACCACTCTGCTGGGTTTTATCAACTACCAGCTCTTCCCATCGCTGAACTTACACTATCCACATATGTTATCTGAATTCCCACCATCAGAAGATGGAGAAGGAGCAGAGAGTGACAAGGTGTTTGAATCTCTGGCACATCAGCTGGCTACTCTTCCCAAAACTGCTCTGGAGACTGAGGAGGCAGAGCAAGATGAGGAGTTGGCCCAGCTAGTTGATGCCGACTTAAATTGCCAGTGCATGCCGGAGTATGTGGTATGATGTGTGTGCGGGAAAAAAAAGAAAAAAAAAGAAAAAGACCAAAAAGTAGGGATTCACTGGCCAAGCCACTTCATAGCTGTCTGGTGTAGACCAGGCTGGATAGTGGAGGTCAATTCTTCAGCCTTGCAAGCTGTTGAATGGTGCAATCCCAGCACAATCTGATATGGCTTCTGCCGTAGCACCGCTATCATCGCCTCTGGCGATGGGCGTTAAATGGTCAATGGTGTGTGTGTGTGTGTGTGTGTGTGTGTGTGCGTGCGTGGGTGCGCGCGTGCGTGTTTGTGTGTGTGTTAACACTTAACAGACTGGACCTGCAGGCTCTCTGCCAGCTTAGGAAGTTTCGCTCGTGCCAGGCCACCACCATGCTTGTGATACCAGGGTGGCAGATGCAGCGCCTAACAGCGAGGGTGAGGTGGTACCTCTCACAACCAATGCTTGTGATACCAGGGTGCCAAATGCAGCGCCTAACAGCGAGGGTGAGGACAGGTGGTACCTCTCACAACCAATGCTTGTGATACCAGGGTGCCAAATGCTGCGCCTAACAGCGAGGGTGAGGTGGTAACTCTCACAACCAATGCCTCCGCAGGTAAGTACTAGTAAAGCCTCTTGTGCGGGAAAAATGAATTGCACATATCAACAAACAAATTGAAATTCAGTAAAATACTTTGAAGTACAAAAATCAATTTAAATGCTAGTATTTAACACAAAATATAATTATAAATCAACTGGAGCACGAAAAAGAGACAAAAAACCCTAGGTAAAAGAGCCCACAGAAACATCACCGTACTGGCAAAGAACGGCAGCTATTTACAAAGGCCCTATTCCTACGCCTGTATGATACCCGGCACCCTCTGATACGGATAAGTACTAGTTGTTAGTTTGACAGCATGAAACAGTCAAACTAACAACATGTGTGAACTATAACAAGGTTTATCTAATACTAGTATTGTACTAGTATTAAAATAGTGGTTTCGAGTAGTATTGGGTTATATAATACATTATGTAGGTAAGTACTAGTGGGGCGTACTAGTTACGTCCGCGTTACAATTTCGAACATTCCTCCGGGAAATCACATCGCCTGGCTTGAGTGCGATCGAAGTGAGTAGCTATGACTGTGTACTTTGTGGAGTGCGATGGAAGTTCGCTGGTTCCGATGAGATAAACTTTGACCCCGAGGCAACAAAGCAGTACAATGCATAGCAGGCGCATGTGAAGGTTCGTCTGTCGGAATCGCTCCCAAAGGCAAACGCAGTGAAAGAACGTGCCTGCTGGAATTGCGTTTAGCGAAGGGCCACAGAGACGGACACAGTTGATATCCACATCAATACCCGTTGCTAAATGCGATCTTTCCAACTGTTGGGTGCAAGTTAGTCCGGCCTGATCTGATATCTTGATTGGCCACTTGTCCATAGTTGATTGCTAGTCAGCTATCAAGCAGGGAAGTGTTCTAAAAATAGTATTTCGCCACTCCTACACACAGCCTGCTTCAACATGCAAAGTGCCAGTGTCCGCATTCAGAAATATGTTGGAAACCAATGCATGCTCGCAAATCATGTGCATTACTTCATCAGTTTGAGGAGATGAAAGGTAGAAAATCCGAAAGTATGTAGGTATTTTGTGTTAATTCGCATATTCTTTTTTTGGTTTTTGTTGTACATACAGAACCGGCACAGGTATCGTGCACACCGGACGTGACCAGGCTGGAGGTGGGCGGCTCAGCAACGGTGACGTGCAACGTAGACGTGGCCCCTCTGACCACCATCAGCACCACGCACTTGCCGGAGCAGCTGCACCACATGTGGCTACGGCGAGAGCGCACGCCTACGGCTACCGCTTCCTGATCCACTTTGAGCGCGTCAACCTGGACCACAACCGAGAGCACCGCCTGCTGACGGACAGCTTCGGCACCAAGCAGCGCTCGTGCTATCGCATTGAAGTGGCCGCTTAATAAGCCGGTGCACTCGGATCCGCCACGGCAGCCGGTGATCACTAGCGTGGAGAGCACGGACAACGCCGTCACGTACAGCTGGACATTGCTGGGCGACGGCGAGGGCAATGGCGGCGCGCGGACACCATTCGTCACCGAGGTGTCGGTTGTGAGTCATGACTTCATGTACGGCAAGCGTGTGCTCTCCGGCGAGACTTCCGTCTCGTTCGACAACCTGCAGCCGCACCAGCAGCACCGGATCACGGTTACGACGAAGCGTGGATCGCAGACCCGGTCAAGCCAGAGAACAGTCCTCACAACAAGTAAGTCTTGCCCGAGACTATAGACATAAGCTTACAGCCGAATTATACTGACTTAATAAGTCTGTTTATTGCTTTCGCATACAATAGAAAGTCTACCATAAGCTACAATTTCTATAGCTTTACACTTTTCATCATTCATCCTTTCACTTTGCACTAATACCTATTTCTGCTTTCTGCGGATGCTTCCATAGGTCTGGATGTCAAATGTCCACCGGTGATTGACGTCGCACTGAAGGCATATGCGTTCAATGCCCACCGAGCACCACCGACGGCGTACAGCATGCGTGCAAAGTGCAACACAACCATTCCAGTGGCCGACGCGCACATCCAGGCACCCGACTTCATCAAGGCGCGTGGAACGAACAGCTCACCGAAGGCCCACAATCACATTCGCCTGTCAAACCGTCGCAACCACCAAGTCATGCCTCTCAAGGATGATCAGCATTGTATACGTGTCAGTGCTGCACAAAAGCAACCGGTGCAGTCGTGCTTCAAACTCAATGTTACCCGTAAGTTATTTCACACTGAGTGCATGGCGATTTCTAGTGGAAATTCTTTTGAACACGCCAGGTTGCATAATTTAAACCATGCTGATTCGCATAGACATCACGTGCCAGTTTCCTGCATACGTATTTGCCTCTGCATATTGTTGAGATTCGCTGTAACTCACAAGTTCTCGCTTTCTTCTCTCTATTTCACCTGTCCACAGGACCTCTAACAGCAGTAATCCAGGATGTGCTGTGCCGCTCCCGGAACTGTTCGGCAATGGGAGTGTCCACGACGAGCGGTGCGAATTCAGGGACGCGCAGGATCCTAGGCTGCTTCGTCACCGGCTATCCACTGCCGCGCAACGACCAGGTGCAGTGGACGTACGACGGCGAGCAGCTGTCCCCTCGCGCACATGCGTCCTGGGTGCGTCGAGTGCTAGGCTGCCGTGCCATCAAGCACCATGGCGAGGACGTGCGGCTCTGCAAGGTGAAAGTGAGCGCCGCCAGCTTCCTGGGTGTCAACCCGCGCCTGCTTCGGTGCAGTGCACACAACGACCACGGCAACACCGCACAGACCATTGGCACGTCTAGCCTGCTAAACAGAACAGAACTTCATCACGTCTAGCCTGCTAAACAGAACAGAACTTCATCACAACGTCTAAAGGAATACTTCAGGCAACATTATATACAATAAATCACCCAATCAGTACTATTTAATCCGAACTAGAATTTTCCTATTCCATCATGACATCATCCACAGATCTCTATCGTTAATCCTTCATAAAATATTCCCGGTACCTCACTATCAGGCACTCACGTCACTGATTGGCGTGATCGCATACTTATCTCATGTGCTATCATTTCAAGAAGTATCCACATAATCATTGTTTCAGCTGGTTTTCCTCCAGTTTTATGAACAGCATAAGGCTAAAATAATTACTGGTCTGCAAGCTCCGGCCCACAACTCATTTGTAAAATTTGTGACAAAGCATTCCTTGAAAAATGATGAGAAAAGATAGTATTGGGATACTCAGCCAATATTAATTTTAAATGTAGAAGGGAAAGGGACATATGGATAGGAGTTAAGAACAGTTGTCCAGTGTCTACCACTGTAACTAGATACATGAATTGTACTACTTGAAGCATATACAGGCAGAATGTGCAGCAACTAACTGTTAGGCTCACAACTGACAGAGCTCTAAGAAATTCGATGACCTGACTACTAGCTCCAAAACATTTCCGAAGCGCAAACCAACAGCCCTAAAAAAATGGGTGCAGGCTAAAGTCCCGAGACCTGTAAGATACTTGACAAAGCGGTCTAACTACAATTCAAAGCAGTACAGCACCCAACTTGGGTGGCTCAGAGATATCAAAGATAAGTACAGAAGAGGAAGCGTTGTACAGAACCGAACACCAAACCCCTGCAGACTACAGTACTCCTAATGCATAACATTGTACTGGACTAGTTGTCTTCAAAACAAGTAGTTTCACACGACGTACGTTTCGCCGCATGGTTCGCGACGGCTCATCACATGTGTAATTTGAAACTCGGATGTTGAGTCAATAATAATTAGCAGCAAGGAATGGCACAGCTTCTCTCAGCACATCTACACATCCGATCGGCACAGTCATTAGGGACCTTTCGCATTTGCTACGAATCGAATGTCTTTTCCAAATGTACATCCTAATGTTGTTTCCCATTTCACTTTAGTCACGATTTGCCACTGATGATTGTGGCGAGAATACGTTCGGGATACAAACTGTTTTTCTTCCAATGTTTGTGATATGAGTGTATATTGTAGAAGTACTTGTTATGCAATTACTATATTGTCCAAGAGAGGAGAAAGCAAGTAGGCAGCAGCAAAACTATCAAGCTTGGCTTGTAGTTGAAAGAGACACAAGTACTTCGAACAAGCAGCAGCAGCAGCAGCAGCAGCAGCAGCAGGAACTGGAAGGGCTTTGCTCGAGGCAGACTGAAGACGAGTAGAAAGCAAGCAAATGAGGAGTTGGTTTCTGTCCAAAACAATGCTGACTACATCGCGGTGGCGTTGGTGGTGGATTGGTCCAGCTCATAAAATTATTGGAATTTTGTCATTACGTCAATTCTTTCTTTCTCACTCCACCGACACTTGCTCATCACTGCCAAGGAGTGTCACAATCCAGTACAGGTTACCTGTGACGTTCCGGATGGTTTCTGTGGCGCCCGTTCTCTCGTGTCTACCAGTGAGAGTGTGACGATCATGATCAACTGTGAGATAAATGATGTCACCGGTTTGCCACGGTTGACCAAGGGCAATTCCGGTATGGTAGTTATGTGCACTATAGCCGTACCAACCAAAACACTGCGACTGGTCCTGTCGGTAATTGTCCAGTTGTGGCCTACTGGATGAACAGGCAGAGAGAAACATGTGACCACCAGCGGTCCTGTCAATCCTCACCTTCAGAGTACTGCTACCAGCATCAGTGACCATAGGTGTGGTACATGCTGATGACCAAGTACCATTGGTACTATCGACACTCAGTGTGCGACCATCATTGGTGATCTTCAAACCACGACGACATCGACTGTTATCAAACAGTGGCTGACTGGCAGTGGGTGTCAGTGTGAGTTGTTGTGGACTGCCTTGCAAATGTCTGTATCCAATCATAGCTGATACACAGTAGCGACCAGCTGCCAATCGATCATGTCCAATCTCTACACGTCCAGGTAATGATTCACAGCGAGTACGCACAGATGGAAAGTCATCATTGTCAAGATTGCATACGGAAATCTCCAGTCCGATGTTGTCGAGTTGATCCTGACTGACACTGCATGCAGAAGTATTGGTAGCACTGGCAGGGACAGCATCAGCAATGTGTGATGAAGTCATGTCTACAGTAAGTATGACATCATCATGAGTCATGGCTTTGTCTGGACAATCCAGTACAGCATGATCAGCTACATCCAGTACAGTACCAGACTTGCCAATGTCATTCAGTAGTTGTGTGATGTCAGTGCTGGCAAACACAAGTCCACTGGACACACATGGCACTTTTTCTTCTTCAGCTATTTGCATTGTTTTGTTCAATGACTCATCGACCCACGTCCATATACGGAGCAGCTCAACATCGTCAGTGAATGACTGCACAATATTTGCGACAGTCTCTTCTTGCGATACACACTCCTGAAGTCGATTTTGTTGTTTCTCCAATGACAGCATCTTCTTAGATCGCATGTCATCCAGCTCTGCAAGGAGATCATTTTGACGATTTTCAACTGCCTCGATCAGCAGTTTGAAGAATTGGTTGACTTTTCCCGAAGCCTGCTCTGTTTGGTCATTGAGCTTCTGAATGTTTGTTTGAACATTGTCCAATGCTTGGGTTATGATGCCATCACGTGTTGATTTACTGCTGCCAAGCTTATCTGCTAGCATATCCAGAGTCTTTTGACCAGCGCTGGCAATGTTCAAGACTTGATGATCTATCTTGTGTGAATGTGCCTGCTTGCACTTTGGACACAGCAACTGGTTACACTGTACGCAGAATCCAACAACGAACTCACTTGTATGCAGTACACACCTGTGCTGTGTAGCAGATCTGCTGGTCGATCCTGCAGAGGACAAGGCTCGCTCCACTTGGGATATTGGATGGACGGTGTGTCCCTTAGTGGTTTTGAATAATGGATGACCAGCAGCATGAACATCGCACATTTTCACCTGGCAGTTCTCACACCCGATGCTGGCTATGGTGTCATCTCCACACTCTTCACACAAGGGTTTCCCCTGCGTCTTGTCTCCCGCTACAGAATCTCCACGGACCACAGCATTAGGGAGCGATCGCAATGGCTCGAAACCCACAGGCAGCGGAGTCATGGAGAAACATTTCGGACATTTGATTGATCCGTCAAACGAAATACTGTTCTGCAGACAGGGTACGCACAGCGTGTGCAGGCAGGAGACGAATTTTAGAGCTGTGCTCGATGAGCCACAACCGTTGCACTGTAGAGAAGGCATTGCTATCGACTACCAACGACTCACTCAGGACTCAGGTAAAAAGTGCATCTTCATGTAGGTATCTTGACCCTTGATTCCCATTAGACAGACTTAGGCCCCGGTCACACATGCACTTTTTTGGCGGTTCCGCCAAAGCGTAACTTACGCTTCCGCCGTTGCCTCGGCAACGGCGGAGGCGTAAGTTACGCTTTGGCGGAAAGTTTGGATTTCGCTACGCCAAAAAAATGCGAGCGGACCCTCCGCTTTCGCGGATCCGCTTTGGCGTAACCTGATGGCTTTGGAGTTTGGTGTGCTACTTCTGCACTGAGTTCTGCCGGTGTTGTTTGGTTGCCGTTTGGTATTCAGTTTTCATATTGTTCTTCTTTGCCAATGAACTGTACGTTCTGGAGATCTCGCAAGCAATACTGCATCGTTATGAGTGGATAGTTGGTGAGGGAATAACTCCGAATCCGTCTCCCAACGAGTCATTGGCCCCGATCGCGGACGATCTCCAACTCTCTCCTTCTCTCTCCAAGCAATACGTCCACCAGAGTATGCAACACTAGGACTGCAACCAGGGAGTAGCAGAGTACTCTGCCACACCCTCACTGCAGCTGCAGGCATCCACGCAGTAAAAAAAAAAAAAAATTGAGCTTGAAAGCTAACTCTGGTCATCCAGATCGATCCTCAGAGCCGGCCGGGGGTGTGTGTTCTCACCCTGTCCAATTTCGACATTACAAATCGTCTCGTGGAGAGTGGACTGGAACTAAAAGGAGAGCGGGTGAGTGTCCTGCCGGGTGATGGCTCACTGTCTTCGTGTCATGTCCTTGTGTATGGCTGTGCACCCAATCTGCATGACGGTCACATTGCCTCAGCATTGGCTGAGTTTGGGCAACTTGTCGGGATAATTGAGAGAGAAAGCCTCACCCATGAGGGCGTAAAAATCCTCACGGGGACTCGACGTGCACTTGTGGTGCTCCAGAAACCCGTACCGTGCAAACTACGCATATCCCGTACATTGCACCGCACGTACCACCGCGGGCAACAGCAGACCTGCTTTCGCTGTCATGCTTCTGATCACATGGCCAGAGACTGCCCGAAAAAGGCGACTGCAGCCAGCAGCACTGGGGCCCGATTGTACGCACATCCAGTTCACTCTGTCAGTATGAGCCAACAGCAACAGCAACACGATGCAGAATGCGTACACGTAGACACCCAGCAGGACCAGGAGCGCCAGCAGCAGCCTTCGCCGCCTCCACAGCAGGAGCTGCAGCGTCAGCAGTCGCCTCCACAGGAGAGCGGTGTCTCATCCCAGCAACCCCGTCCTGTAGGCACAACATTGCCGTCCAAAATACCTGTGCCCCATCCAGCGCGCCTGCAGGCCCTGGTCACGACACCCGTCATGCCTGCATTTCCCAAAGCACGTGGCAAAGCTGGCCACTCGTCTCCAGATGAGGCTGGTTTTGTCCTGGCAACAGGAAAACATACGTTCACTCCCAAAGTTCTGACCGGCACGCGTCCCCCATCCCCGGACCCTCAAGTCGCCTGGGCACACCAAGCCTCAGCGAGTGAGATGCAGCAAGTGTCTGATCGAGTGAACAGCCGCAGAAGCAGCCGCTAAGTAGATAAGTAAACTTTCTGTTTTGTGTTTGGTGCAGTCTTATGTCAGGATGCCCCCTTTCCTTCTCTAATATTACCACATTTACTCTTAATCCCAATGCCAATTCATTTTTCCCTCGCGCTATTGTGCAACCCCCCGCACCACAGCTGCGTCTACTGGGTGAGATGCGGGTCGGTTTCTTAAACATCTGCAGTCTTCGACACAAGGTCGCAGAGCTAGAAGACCTTATTAACCTGCATATGTGGGATGTATTTGCCCTTTGCGAGACGTGGTTGAACAGCACCATATCTGATAATGATATCCACATTCCTGGTTACTGTGTTGTCCGCTGCGACCGCTATGGCCGCCAGGGAGGAGGAGTATGCATTTTCTACAA